GTGAGAGGGGCAGGTGGAGTGAGAGGGAAGGGTGGAGTGAGAGGGATGGTGGAGTGAGAGGGATGGTGGAGTGAGAGGGGTGGGTGAAGTGAGAGGGGCAGGTGGAGTGAGAGGGAAGGGTGGAGTGAAAGGGATGGGTGGAGTGAGAGGGATGGGTGGAGTGAGAGGGATGGTGGAGTGAGAGGGATGGGTGAAGTGAGAGGGCAGGTGGAGTGAGAGGGAAGGGTGGAGTGAGAGGGATGGGTGGAGTGAGAGGGATGGGTGGAGTGAGAGGGATGGTGGAGTGAGAGGGATGGGTGAAGTGAGAGGGGCAGGTGGAGTGAGAGGGAAGGGTGGAGTGAGAGGGATGGTGGAGTGAGAGGGATGGGTGGAGTGAGAGGGATGGTGGAGTGAGAGGGATGGGAGAGTGAGAGGGGCAGGTGGAGTGAGAGGTATGGGTGGAGTGAGAGGGATGGTGGAGTGAGAGGGATGGGTGAAGTGAGAGGGGCAGGTGGAGTGAGAGGGGCAGGTGGAGTGAGAGGGAAGGGTGGAGTGAGAGGGAAGGGTGGAGTGAGAGGGATGGGTGGAGTGAGAGGGATGGGTGGAGTGAGAGGGCAGGTGGAGTGAGAGGGAAGGGTGGAGTGAAAGGGATGGGTGGAGTGAGAGGGATGGGTGGAGTGAGAGGGATGGGTGGAGTGAGAGGGATGGGTGAAGTGAGAGGGGCAGGTGGAGTGAGAGGGAAGGGTGGAGTGAGAGGGATGGTGGAGTGAGAGGGAAGGGTGGCATGAGGTACAGGACAATACTGAATGGTGAGACATGCTGGCGGCTTAGGCTCATGGCTTTGTTCTCTATAACAATACACAACTGCAGAGGTTCACAATGTTTGAACTCTTGTTACCTTGGGATTGTTCTGCCAGCAGTTCTCAATAATTACAAGAACACTTAATGTTATGCCCTTAAGAACAGGCCATAAAGCACAACTGGGTAAGATGTATAGTTAAGACACTTGATGAATCAAACCACAGTTATAAACAATTACTTCTACGACACCCTCCACTGACACCATGTACTCATGCAACATCATCAGCAGAGAGCAACAAGGTACGCTACTTTGTACAGAGATGTGACATGAGGTCTACGGCTACCGGGGAGGTGACATGAGGTTTGCTCCCTACGGCTACCGGAGAGGTGACATGAGGTGTACCCCTTACAGGTACCGGAGAGGTGACATGAGGTGTACCCCTTACTGTTTCCGGAGAGGTGACATGAGGTGTACCCCTTACTGGTACCGGAGAGGTGACATGAGGTGTACCCCTTACTGGTACCGAGTTAGGTGTACCCCTTACTGGTACAGAGTGAGGTGTACCCCTTACTGGTACCGAGTTAGGTGTACCAGTTACTGGTACCGGGTGAGGTGTACCCCTTACTGGTACCGGGTGAGGTGTACCCCTTACTGGTACCGGGTGAGGTGTACCCCTTACTGGTACCGGGTGAGGTGTACCCCTTACTGGTACAGAGTGAGGTGTACCCCTTACTGGTACAGAGTGAGGTGTACCCCTTACTGGTACCGAGTTAGGTGTACCAGTTACTGGTACCGGGTGAGGTGTACCCCTTACAGGTACCGGGTGAGGTGTACCCCTTACAGGTACCGGGTGAGGTGTACCCCTTACTGGTACAGAGTGAGGTGTACCCCTTACTGGTGCCGGGTGAGGTGTACCCCTTACTGGTGCCGGGTGAGGTGTACCCCTTACTGGTACCGGGTGAGGTGTACCCCTTACTGGTGCCGGGTGAGGTGTACCCCTTACTGGTACCGGGTGAGGTGTACCCCTTACTGGTACCGGGTGAGGTGTACCCCTTATTGGTACCGGGTGAGGTGTACCCCTTACTGGTACAGAGTGAGGTGTACCCCTTACTGGTACCGGGTGAGGTGTACCCCTTACTGGTACCGGGTGAGGTGTACCCCTTACTGGTACCGGGTGAGGTGTACCCCTTACTGGTACCGGGTGAGGTGTACCCCTTACTGGTACAGAGTGAGGTGTACCTCAAGGACTTGGCTGGTCCACTTACTCTCCCCATCAAACTTTTCAAGTGGCATTCATCATTGTGATTAATTACACTAAGTAAACCAAGAGGCCCAGTACACTATAAAGTAAACCAAGAGGCCCGGTACACTATAAATCAAACTTTTCAAGAGGCCCGGTACACTATAAAGTAAACCAAGAGGCCCGGTACACTATAAAGTAAACCAAGAGGCCCGGTACACTATAAAGTAAACAAAGTGGCCCGGTACACTATAAAGTAAACCAAGAGGCCCGGTACACTATAAAGTAAACCAAGAGGCCCGGTACACTATAAAGTACACCAAGAGGCCCGGTACTCTATAAAGTAAACCAAGAGGCCCTGTACACTATAAAGTAAACCAAGAGGCACGGTACACTATAAAGTAAACCAAGAGGCCCAGTACACTATAAAGTAAACCAAGAGGCCCGGTACACTATAAAGTAAACCAAGAGGCCCAGTACAATATAAAGTAAACCAAGGGGTCCGGTACACTATAAAGTAAACCAAAGGACCCGGTACACTATAAAGTAAACCAAGGGGTCAAAGACACTATAAAGTAAACCAAGAGACTCGGTACACTATAAAGTAAACCAAGAGACTCGGTACACTATAAAGTAAACCAAGAGACTCGGTACACTATAAAGTAGACCAAGATACCTGGTACACTGTAAAGTAAACCAAGGGGCCCGGTACACTATAAAGTAAACCAAGAGACCCAGTACAATATACAAGTAAACCAAGAGACCCGGTACACTATAAAGTAAAGCAAGGGGTCCACGACACTATAAAGTAAACCAAGAGACTCGGTACACTATAAAGTAAACCAAGAGACTCGGTACACTATAAAGTAGACCAAGATACCTGGTACACTGTAAAGTAAACCAAGGGGCCCGGTACACTATAAAGTAAACCAAGAGACCCAGTACAATATACAAGTAAACCAAGAGACCCGGTACACTACAAGTAAACCAAGAGATCCTGTACGCTATAAAGTAAACCAAGATACCTGGTACATTATACAAGTAAACCAAGAGATCCGGTACACTATACAAGTAAACCAAGAAACCTGGTACACTATATATGTAAACCTAGAGTCCCTGTACACTATGCATGTAAAGCTAGAGACCCTGTACACTATACAAGTAAACTTAGAAGCCCTGTCCACTATACAAGTAAACCAAGAGGCCCTGTATACTATAAAGTAAATCAAGAGGCCCTCTTCACTATAGAAGTAAACCTAGAGGTCCGGTACACTATAAGATAAACTTAGAGGATTTGTCCACTAAAACGCAAACCAAGAGGTTGTATACACTGTACAAATAAACCAAGAGGTCCGGTATACCCTACAGGTAAACCAAGAAAGTCCGGTATGCTGTTCAGCTAAAATCTAAGATCCCTATATAGTGAATAAACTATTAAATACCGGTATACTGTAAATGTAAACTAATAAGCCTATGTAAACTTCACTCGTAACCAGGAAGGCCCCGTAAACTCTAGATATACCTGCAAACCCAATTATACGGTTCAGGTAAACCAAAAAGAACCCGTACACTAAAGGTAAACCAAAAAGACCTGGTATACTGAACAGATAAACCAAGGTCTGGTATACAGTACAAGGAAACCAAGAAGGAACGGTATACTTTACATGTACACCAAGGAAGCTCAGCATAGAGTGAAATTAAACCAAGGTCGGGTATACTGTTCAGGTTATCCAATAGGCTCGGTATACTGTACATTTAACGCATGAGGGCCGGTATCATGTATAGGTAAACCAATAGAGCTAGCATATTGAACAAGTAAACCCGGATGCACAGTATACTGTATAGGTAAACCAAAAGGCCCGGTTTACTGTACTTTTAAATTAATAAGCCTAGTTACGATGTAAAGATAAACCATGAAATCTAGGTATAATGATTAGGTAAACCAAGAAGGTTCCATATATTGAACAGGTAAACTAAGTTGAATAATATTCAGGTAAACCAGGACGCTCTGGTATACTGTACAAATAAATCAAGTTTTGGTATACCGTGCCTGTAAACCAAGAAGGCCTGGCATACTGGATAGGTAAAGCAAGAAGGCCCAGTATAATGTGCATGTGCACCAAATGTCCCGGTATAGTATACAAGTAAACTGAGGTCTGGTACACTGTACAGGTAAACCAAATAGGCCAGGTATACTATTCAGGCACCTCAAGAAGGCCCGGTATACTACACAGGTACACCAATATGGCCCGGTATACTGAGCGTAAACCTTCAACACTTAAACATAAAGAAAAGATTATTGGGTGTGAGTTGTGAAGCAACAGAGATCCTTGGCCCCACCCCATGGGGAAGGGTTCACGTGGAGTCCTACCCCATGGGCAGGGCCCCGGTGGACCCTACCCCATGGGCAGGGCCCCGGTGGACCCCATGGGCAGGGCCCCGGTGGACCCTACCCCATGGGCAGGGCCCCGGTGGACCCTACCCCATGGGCAGGGCCCCGGTGGACCCCACCCCATGGGCAAGGCCCCGGTGGACCCTACCCCATGGGCAGGGCCCCGGTGGACCCCATGGGCAGGGGCCCCGGTGGACCCCATGGGCAGGGCCCCGGTGGACCCCACCCCATGGGCAGGGCCCCGGTGGACCCTACCCCATGGGCAGGGCCTCGGTGGACCCTACCCCATGGGCACGGCCCCGGTGGACCCCATGGGCAGGGCCCCGGTGGACCCTACCCCATGGGCAAGGCCCCGGTGGACCCTACCCCATGGGCAAGGCCCCGGTGGACCCTACCCCATGGGCAGGGCCCCGGTGGACCCCATGGGCAGGGCCCCGGTGGACCCCACCCCATGGGCAGGGCCCCGGTGGACCCCATGGGCAGGGCCCCGGTGGACCCCACCCCATGGGCAGGGCCCCGGTGGACCCCACCCCATGGGCAGGGCCCCGGTGGACCCCACCCCATGGGCAGGGCCCCGGTGGACTCACACTAGCCATAACCAAGTCCACCTCCTCTCATGTCATGTGAATCACAAACAAGGCCTCGCAACATGTATATGCAATGCACTAGGTACAGCCTTTGGGAGAGTAAGGATACCATATATATATATTGAGACAAGAGGGGCGGGCCACACACGAGCGAGCTGGGGGAAGGGGGGGTGTTAAGGGCGGGCAAACATGGGGACTGGCGGGGAAACTCACCCCCGTGGTCGCTGGCCCGGCTCTGTCTGCCTGCGTGCGCTGCTGCCTGCTCGATGATGTCGTTGAGAACCATCACGTCTGTCAAGACATCACCATATTAACGTCTGTCAAGACATCACCATATTAACGTCTATCAAGACATCACCATATTAACGTCTATCAAGACATCACCATATTAACGTCTGTCAAGACATCACCATATTAACGTCTGTCTAAACATCACCATATTAACGTCTGTCAAGACATCACCATATTAACGTCTGTCAAGACATCACCATATTAACGTCTGTCAAGACATCACCATATTAACGTCTGTCAAGACATCACCATATTAACGTCTGTCAAGACATCACCATATTAACGTCTGTCAAGACATCACCATATTAACGTCTGTCTAAACATCACCATATTAACGTCTGTCAAGACATCACCATATTAACGTCTGTCAAGACATCACCATATTAACGTCTGTCTAAACATCACCATATTAACGTCTGTCTAAACATCACCATATTAACGTCTGTCAAGACATCACCATATTAACGTCTGTCAAGACATCACCATATTAACGTCTGTCAAGACATCACCATATTAACGTCTGTCAAGACATCACCATATTAACGTCTGTCAAGACATCACCATATTAACGTCTGTCAAGACATCACCATATTAACGTCTGTCTAAACATCACCATATTAACGTCTGTCTAAACATCACCATATTAACGTCTGTCTAAACATCACCATATTAACGTCTGTCTAAACATCACCATATTAACGTCTGTCAAGACATCACCATATTAACGTCTGTCAAGACATCATTATATTAACACAAGCTTCACATCAAAATCTATATTATCAATTGTATTCCCTGGTGTAAAATTACAAATAAAATACATAGGTATGAATAGCAGACAGATACGAGAATGGACTTTTAAGTTTCAATAACACTGGGACTTTAAGTATCAGTGGCACTGGCAATATAAGTGTCAGTGCCACTGGGACTTTAAGTATCAGTGGCACTGGCAATATAAGTGTCAGTGCCACTGGGACTTTAAGTATCAGTGGCACTTGGAAAGCAAACATCAGTGTGTCACCAGCAGGGGTCAGAGCCAACGAATTAAACAGCTGTACTTCATCTATGGTGCCAGCCACACACAGGTTAAGCGCCCCTCGTGTCTGACCAGGAACACTGCAAGTATTACATTATAAACCGCTGGGGGGGTCCTCGACAAGCCGCAGGCTTCCTGTCCTCGTCACTGGCAACATCACCATGATCTGAGGCAGGAGTGAGACACCAGGAGGAGGAGGAGGAAGCAGTAGAGCTGAGCCTCACCTCTCATGTCAACAACGGTGTGTTTCTGGATGGGGTCTATGAAGGGGTTGGACTCCTGGTTCTTGAGCTTGAGCGCCAACACCTCGTCGGGATCCATCGACCCGTCCTGCAACGCCAGAAGCTCAGTCAATACACACGTCAAGAGGAGCCAAATGTGGTCATCAAACGTCGACGTCATGATAGTCGTGGGTCTAGTCTCCATCTCACTGACTTTGAGTAACTTTGCTGGCGTATATATATCATTAATACAGATTATACTGAATCAAACTCAATCAACTCTGAATCATAGTTACATATATTTTTGGCACAGCTATCCTCTTAGTTTTACAGACGAGACAAGTGCTTTGCAAAGGCTGAAAGGTCACTTGAATCTGGGTGAGGTTGCCGGTAGGTGGCTACAGTCCTTGGTCTTGTGTGCAAGTGGCTGTACTGTGAGTACATCACTGCCGGCCGTCTGCTTCAGGCAAGTACTTGCACAATGTACATTATCGTCCAGGGATAAATGCATGTCATTATACCAATCCCGATCCCTTAGATATCCTGAAGGCTGTCACTGAGAGTATATGACTATACATAATGCAGTATATAAATCCTTCAGAGCATCTAAGAGCTGTGCATAATAATCTTATTTGTTAAGAAGGCAACATTCAAATGCGTTCCTGCAGCGTTGGCGAAGACCTAATTTCAAAATGAGATTCACTACAGATACAATTACTGAACAAAAGTGACATTGCTAAACATAACGGGACCAATTGTGGGAAACATTTCTCTTGACATCAGCTTCTGAATATTAAAATAGATATTGATCGCCTACTTCGCCGACTTCTGCCTTGGCATTTACGCTACATGCTCTGACCATAGAAAATGGCTGGGTTCTTAAATTGGAAAGGCAGACTAAACTGGGAACCTGATGGTTGCGGCGTTCCGCTTGGAAATAGGAAAGCTCCACTGATAGAGATACATGTAATAAATATATATTTTATATATATATATATGTACATATATATCATGAATAATTTATATCTGAGAACTACTCTTTTCTGATGCCCGGCAACGTCTCGTGTTAAGAGGAGCATGTGAGCATTAGTGATATGGCGTGTCACAGGTAATGGTGAGGAAATTGCTCTAGAGAGAAAGGACTCATCAAGTCCCCAGTTACGGGTCCAGTGAGAACAAACAGGTGAGTGGTGCATTCTCATATACGGGTGAACGTCAAGGACAAACGCCTTCATACACAACCCACTCTCATTCAAGGCTCAGGTGAGGTATGGGTCACAAACAGTAAGGTGGGTTGGTGGTGCCTTACCTGGCCGCGTCAACATCCTCCATCTGTTTCCCCTCAAAACAATATAAAATAAAATACAAATAAGTCACACTGGCATTATTAACCACAGAGTACACTCATGCATCACCGCCCAGGCGGCACCAGGCGGCGCCCCTGCTAAGTGGGAAGCCCAGCGCCGCACCACCTCCCACAGCCTCGCCCGCACACCACTTCACAGACATAAGCCTCAGATCAATCACAATCTTTGTGGTTTTGTACAATTTGCGTATGAAGAGGAGAGGTCGGGAGGGTGGTGGGAGTGGGCGGGGGTGGTGGGTGAGGGAGTGACGGCTGTGGTGGTTGAGGGGGTGACGGCTGCGGGCTGTGGTGGGTGAGGGAGTGACGGCTGTGGTGGGTGATGGGGTGACGGCTGCGGGCTGTAGTGGGTGAAGGGGTGACGGCTGCGGGCTGTGGTGGGTGAGGGGGTGACGGCTGCGGGCTGTGGTGGGTGAGGGGGTGACGGCTGCGGGCTGTGGTGGGTGAGGGGGTGACGGCTGCGGGCTGTGGTGGGTGAGGGGGTGACGGCTGCGGGCTGTGGTGGGTGAGGGGGTGACGGCTGCGGGCTGTGGTGGGTGAGGGGGTGACGGCTGCGGGCTGTGGTGGGTGAGGGGGTGACGGCTGCGGGCTGTGGTGGGTGAGGGGGTGACGGCTGCGGGCTGTGGTGGGTGAGGGGGTGACGGCTGCGGGCTGTGGTGGGTGAGGGGGTGACGGCTGCGAGCTGTGGTGGGTGAGGGGGTGACGGCTGCGGGCTGTGGTGGGTGAGGGAGTGACGGCTGTGGTGGGTGAGGGTGACGGCTGCGGGTTGTGGTGGGTGAGGGGGTGACGGCTGCGGGCTGTGGTGGGTGAGGGGGTGACGGCTGCGGGCTGTGGTGGGTGAAGGGGTGACGGCTACAGGCTGTGGTGGGTGAAGGGGTGACGGCTGCGGGCTGTGGTGGGTGAGGGGGTGACGGCTGCGGGCTGTGGTGTGTGAAGGGGTGACGGCTGCGGGCTGTGGTGGGTGAGGGGGTGACGGCTGCGGGCTGTGGTGGGTGAGGGGGTGACGGCTGCGGGCTGTGGTGTGTGAAGGGGTGACGGCTGCGGGCTGTGGTGGGTGAGGGGGTGACGGCTGCGGGCTGTGGTGGGTGAGGGGGTGACGGCTGCGAGCTGTGGTGGGTGAGGGGGTGACGGCTGCGGGCTGTGGTGGGTGAGGGAGTGACGGCTGTGGTGGGTGAGGGGGTGACGGCTGCGGGCTGTGGTGGGTGAGGGGGTGACGGCTGCGGGCTGTGGTGGGTGAGGGGGTGACGGCTGCGGGCTGTGGTGGGTGAAGGGGTGACGGCTGCGGGCTGTGGTGGGTGAGGGGGTGACGGCTGCAGGCTGTGGTGGGTGAGGGGGTGAGGGCTGCGGGCTGTGGTGGGTGAGGGGGTGACGGCTGCGGGCTGTGGTGGGTGAGGGGGTGACGGCTGCGGGCTGTGGTGGGTGAGGGGGTGAGGGCTGCGGGCTGTGGTGGGTGAGGGGGGTGGCGACAAGCTTGGCACCCACATGGTCAGCTGAGGCTCTGGGGAATATCATCGAGTCCAGCTGTTATCCTCTTATATAACCTTACTGTCACGCATCAACGGTCAGTGTCAGTCACATGTGAACGGTCAGTGTCCGTCACATGTGAACGGTCAGTGTCCGTCACATGTGAACGGTCAGTGTCCGTCACATGTGAACGGTCAGTGTCCGTCACATGTGAACGGTCAGTGTCCGTCACATGTGAACGGTCAGTGTCCGTCACATGTGAACGGTCAGTGTCCGTCACATGTGAACGGTCAGTGTCCGTCACATGTGAACGGTCAGTGTCCGTCACATGTGAACGGTCAGTGTGAGGGGTCACTCGCAGCATTATATAACCGCACCAATATTTACAAATCGTTTCTAATTTGTTTTAGGCAAGAGTTTATCGTTCACAGACTTAATAGTAATCTTAACACTTTGAACAATCATGTGGTAGTGAACATTTCGTGTGTTCTGCAAGAACAATAACATACATGAGGCTTTATTTTCTCTCACTAATTTGCTCACATCTCCGATTGGTCGGGGCAGCAGTAGTGAGACTGTCACTTACATAGTACTTGGTAACAGGGTGGGTCCTGCCAGACTCTTGGTGCCAGCACTTGGCACACTAGCTTGACACCTGACTCAGTGCCTCAGCTGACCAGTGTGGCATTACAACAATGGCGGGTGCCTGGAAGAGGTGACTCAGGATAAATGACATGAGAGAGAAAATGACGATGAGGAATTGTCTGGGAAAGATGAGGGGCACATCACACTGGTCTTGGAGGAAGGTCGGGGTGAAGTATGAGCTGTGAGGAGCATGCCAGTCACTGTGAGGTAGGGGGAGGGAGGGGCACAGCTGAAGACATTCCACACGCACTGCTGGAGGAAGCCATGGGAGGGGAAGGGAGAGGAGGACAAGGGGGAGGAGGAAGTAGGGAGTCAGAGTATGAAGTCACACTCCAGGAGGAGGGAGCAGTTGCTGCCGTGTGGTGTGCTGACCCTCGTCAAGACCTTCAGCGCCCCCACCACCGTTACGGGCGGCGGCTGGCTGCCTCTCTGCCAGGGGGCCGGATTCATCAAATAGATACGCAAGTACTTACGAAACCTGTGCATCATTTCTCAATCTTTGGCGGCGTTGCTTGCATCTATTTAGCATTTTATGAGCTCCGAAGCACGACGAGGCTGTTAATAACAACTACAACAGTTCATGGAGCTGTTTCGGAGCTCGTAAGCTATTTGATAAATGCAAATAATGCCGATAAAGATTAAAGTTGTACAGGATCGTAAGTAGACGCGTAAATACTTGCCCAGGTTTGTTAAACGCCGTTAACACTTTTGTTGACTCATTTGTGATATAAAAAGATTATTGATTATATGTATTTGTGTAAATGATTGTATACATATATACATGTGTATGTAACTTTAACAATTGTATAACTAGCTTCACAAGATTGTTACTAGCTTAGGTACACGAACTCTGGGGTTCTCTTCCCGAACTTCTTATGTGCCTCTGTAACCACCACGGCATGGGTATGGGGTGCATAATAAAGAAATATATTGAATTAAATCTTAATCACTAGTTATGACTACGGAACGCGGCGTTGTGACTACGGAACGCGGCGTTGTGACTACGGAACGCGGCGTTGTGACTACGGAACGCGGCGTTGTGACTACGGAACGCGGCGTTGTGACTACGGAACGCGGCGTTGTGACTACGGAACGCGGCGTTGTGACTACGGAACGCGGCGTTGTGACTACGGAACGCGGCGTTGTGACTACAGAACGCAGCGTTGTGACTACGGAACGCGGCGTTGTGACTACGGAACGCAGCGTTGTGACTACGGAACGCGGCGTTGTGACTACGGAACGCGGCGTTGTGACTACAGAACGCAGCGTTGTGACTACAGAACGCGGCGTTGTGACTACGGAACGCGGCGTTGTGACTACGGAACGCGGCGTTGTGACTACAGAACGCAGCGTTGTGACTACGGAACGCGGCGTTGTGACTACGGAACGCGGCGTTGTGACTACGGAACGCGGCGTTGTGACTACGGAACGCAGCGTTGTGACTACAGAACGCAGCGTTGTGACTACAGAACGCAGCGTTGTGACTACAGAACGCAGCGATGTGACTACGGAACGCGGCGATGTGACTACGGAACGCGGCGATGACTACAGAACATGGGGATGTAATAACAGAATATGGGGCTGAAAACATGCAACACGGGGTTGCGACTATAGAACACGGTATTGCGACTATGGAACACTGAGATGTGACACACGAAGCTGGCAGTGTTGCCAGTAGTGAGCTGTCCTGGGAGGGCGTTTGCTGGCTTGCAATAAGATGTCCTAGGAGGCAGTCTGTTGGTTTGCAATAAGGTGCCCTGGGAGGCCGTCTACTGGCTTGTAATAAGCTCTCCTGGGAGGCCGTCTGCTGGCTTGCAATGACCTGTCCTGGGCGGCCGTCTGCTGGATTGCAATAAGCTGCCCTGGGAGGCCGTCTGCTTGCTTGCAATAAGCTGCCCTGGGAGGGCGTTTGCTGGCTTGCATTAATCTGTCCTAATGGGAGGCCGTCTGCTGGCTTGCAATAAGTCCTGGGAGGTCGTCTTCTGGCTTGCAATAAGCTGTCCTGGGAGACCCTCTGCTGGCTTGCTATTAACTGACCTGGAAGGCCGTCTGCTGATCTGCAATAGGCTGTTCTGGGAGAATGTCTGCTGGCTTGCAATAAGCTGTCCTGAGAGGCCGTCTGCTGACCTGCAATAAGCTGTCTTGGGAAGTCGTCTGCTGACTTGCAATAAGCTGTCCTGGGAGACCGTCTGCTGGCTTGCAGTAAGATATCATGGGAAGCCGTCTGCTGGCTTGCAATAAGCTGTCCTTGGAAGCCGTCTGCTGGCTTGCAATAAGCTTTCCTGGAAAGCCGTCTGCTTGCTTGCAATAAGCTGCCCTGTGAGGCCCTTTGCAGGCTTGCAATAAGCTGCCCTGTGAGGCCCTTTGCAGGCTTGCAATATGCTGCCCTGTGAGGCCCTTTGCAGGCTTGCAATAAGCTGCCCTGTGAGGCCCTTTGCAGGCTTGCAATAAGCTGCCCTGTGAGGCCCTTTGCAGGCTTGCAATAAGCTGCCCTGTGAGGCCCTTTGCAGGCTTGCAATAAGCTGCCCTGTGAGGCCCTTTGCAGGCTTGCAATAATCTGTCCTAATGGGAGGCCGTCTGCTGGCTTGTTATACGTTGCCCTAGGAGGCAGTTTGCTGGCTTGCAATAAGATGCACTGGGAGGTCGTCTATTGGCTTGCAATAAGCTGTCCTGGGAGGCCGTCTGCTGACTTGCAATAAGCAATCCTCGGAGGCCGTTTGCTGGCTTGCAATAAGTTGCTCTGGGAGGCCGTCTGGTGGTGTTCAATAATCTTCTTTGCGAAGCCGTCTGCTGGCTTGTAATAAGCTGCACTGGGAGGCCGTCTGCTGGCTTGAAATAAGCTGTCATGGGAAGCCGTCTACCGGTTTGCAATAAGCTGTACTGGCAGGCCGTCTGCTTGCTTGCAATAAGCTCTCATGGGAGGCCGTCTGCTGGCTTGCAATAAGCTCTCCTGGGAGGCCGTCTGCTGGCTTGCAATAAGCTCTCCTGGGAGGCCGTCTGCTGGCTTCTAATAAGCTCTCATGGGAAGCCGTCTGCTGGTTTGCAATAAGCTGTCCTAATGGGAGGTCGTCTGCTGGCTTGCAATAAGCTATCCTGGTAGGCCGTCTGTAGGCTTGCAATAAGCTATCCTGGGAGGCCGTCTGCTGACTTGCAATACGTTGCCCTGGGAGGCTGTCTGCTTACTTGCAATAAGCTGCCCTGGGAGGCCGTCTCCTGGCTTGCAATAAGTTGCCCTGGGAGGCCGTCTGGTGGTCTGCAATTGTCTGCTTTGCGAGGCCGTCTGCTGGCTTGTAATAAACGGCACTGGGAGGCCGTCTGTTGGCTTGCAATAAGCTGTCATGGGAAGCCGTCTGATGGCTTGCAATAAGCTGTTCTAGGAGGCAGTCTCCTGGCTTGCAATAAGGTGCCCTGGGAGGCCGTCTGATGGCTTGCAATAAGCTGTCCTAGGAGGTCGTCTGCTGGCTAGCAATAAGCTGTCCTGGGAGGCTGTCCTGGGAGACCGTCTGCTGGCTAGCAATAAGCTGTCCTGGAAGACCGTCTGCTTGCTTGCAATAAGCGTCCCTGAGAGGCCGTTTGCTGGCTTGCAATAATCTGTCCTAGGAGGCCGTCTGCTGGCTTGCAATAAGCTGTCCTGGGAGACAGTCTCCTGGCTTGCAATAATCTGTCCTAGGAGGCCGTCTGCTGGCTTGCAATAAGCTGTCCTGGGAGACCGTCTGCTGGCTTGCAATAAGCTGCCCTGGGAGGCCGTCTGGTGGCTTGCAACAAGCTATCCTGGGAGACCGTCTGCTGGCTAGCAATAAGCTGCCCTGGGAGGCCGTCTGCTGGCTTGCAATAAGCTTCGACACTGTTATCTGTATGCAGATGGGAAGTCAGGCAAGACAATCATTGGTTCTTGAGTCCGTTACATATATACGAGTCTGGTGGTTTAGTCTCGTGTTTACTCCCACAAGCAAGTTCAGAACCCAAATATTTGGATATACTTCCCGCTGCTCATCGCACATCTCCTTAGAGACACGCGCAAATTATTTACATATTCATTACTTAGTTAATTTCGATATTAAACTTTTTACTTTGCTGGTTTACCAAGAGATACTAAAGTACTGCAAGAGCTGGTATACCAAGAGATACTGAAGTACCGCAGGAGCTGGTATACCAAGAGATACTGAAGTACCGCAGGAGCTGGTATACCAAGAGATACTAAAGTACTGCAAGAGCTGGTATACCAAGAGATACTGAAGTACCGCAGGAGCTGGTATACCAAGAGATACTGAAGTACCGCAGGAGCTGGTATACCAAGAGATACTGAAGTACCGCAGGAGCTGGTATACCAAGAGATACTGAAGTACCGCAAGAGCTGGTATACCCAGAGATACTAAAGTACCGCAAGAGCTGGTATACCAAGAGATACTAAAGTACCGCAAGAGCTGGTATACCAAGAGATACTGAAGTACCGCAAGAGCTGGTATACCAAGAGATACTAAAGTACCGCAAGAGCTGGTATACCAAGAGATACTGAAGTACCGCAGGAGCTGGTATACCAAGAGATACTGAAGTACCGCAGGAGCTGGTATACCAAGAGATACTAAAGTACCGCATGATTGAGTAGAGAACGTCTCGGACAAAGTTTTTGGAACATTCACGGTAACTGTAAGCTTTCATTGTAACTGTAAGCTTTCACTGTAATTGTAAGATTTCACGGCAATTGTAGGCTTTCGCATGACTGAGGGCAGCACACGTCTCCGACTGTAAGGGTGCAGTTGTGCTACACGTGGAGGAGCCTCGGACGAGTGACCTCGGTGTCCACAAGGAGAGAGAGAGAGAGAGAAAGAAAACGGGGGTTGGAGGAAGGGGAGACTGCAGGATAGGGGTGAGGAACTTAAGAGTAGGTGGTGGCGGATTCTGGAAGTGCGTGGACATTCTCTTGGTAGTGAGCCGGACCACAAAATAAAGAAGAGAGAGAGAGAGAGAAGAGTGGAGACGGTCAATCGGGCACACAGGAGTGAACTTACTACAACGTTTTCTTTTGATCTTGCTAGCGGAGTGCCTTGTACGGACTTGTGGAGGAAGAGAAAGCAGGCGGTTTAGTCTACCACTCATAACCCGTCGAGTTAACACTGGACTCCTCTTTTATCTTTTTGTCATTAAAGTAATGTATCGTGAATGTTCTTTTAAGAATATAATTGGGGGAGGAGGGACAAACATCTGTCCAGAAAAGCAGAAATTAAAAGTATGGAAGACTGAGCGAGTCCTGAACACAATGCAAAAAGGGTAAGTCTTACACAATCCTGGGAGTGTATCAACTTTATCTAACACAACACAGGACTCTGCTCTCTCAGAGAAATAACTAGTAATGAAAACATAGGTCTAGTTGCCTACTTACTGCATCTTTGTCGATATATTCAAGGTTGATATCTGGCCCAAATATTTCACGAATGATGTTATCAATGACCTCGTCTTCTTTCTTAGTGAGAGCTTCACCCTCCAGTTTGAGCGGAAGCATCTGCAGCATGTGCTTATTGTCCAGCTAGGGAGGGTTACAAAAGCAGACTTTAACAATGGGTATTGGTAGGAGGCCATTGTTATTGCTCTACTCTGTTCCCGTACTAAGTCTCTTCCTGGCATGAGAAGGTTACTAGCTCTACGTCTGTTCCTGGCATCATAGTATGGCTTAGTTAAGTGCCTGTCTGGTCCATTGGCTCACACAGGGAGACACGTGAGTCCGTCTCATCATTCCATACATTTGAGGGATACTGTCACATGTGCTCAATGGAAGATGAAGGTGGAAAAAGCTGTGATGCTGAAAAAGTACAATAATATTGGTGCTGAGGTAAGAGAGAGATGGTGTGAGAGAGAGAGAGAGGGAGAGAGAGAGAGAGTAAGCGTGCCAGAGGAATCATAAGAGATGATGTTGAGCGGAGGTGCGGATATGAGAAACCAACTAATGATGAGGGAGCTACTGTAGGTGAGGGAGGCTGTGGCCATCACTTAGCAGGGAACACTGGGCCAACACCAACAACTCTGCCACACCAAGCGGTCGGGGATGGGGAGGGGGACACAGGGGATAGACAAAGAGGGAGATGGACTGGTAAAGGGGTAGCAGCGGGTATGGGGGTCCACTACTCACACACTCGCCACTAAAAGTTACAATAATGACCTCTGGGACGAGGGAGGAGGCCATGTTGCGCGACCTTGACCGCAGCTGCGACTCTTTGGTGGTGGGAGGCTTGCCGTTGAGCAGGTCGCCGTGAGAGGTGTAGGAAATGCGGGAGGTGTGGGATGTGTAGGAGTTGTGTCGGGAGCCCAGGTTTGTATACACCGGCACGATGATGGCGCCATTCTCCTCGCTCATGGGTGTAACCGCCGCGGAGTCGTCGGCGTAGGGCAGGTGCTCTTGGGCGTCCAGGTACGTGGACAGCACCAGCGGCTTCTTGTCACCAAAGCGCCGGCCATTTGTGGTCCGCCAGGTGAACTGATGGCTACCTCGGGAGCTTCTCCGTATGTTAAATGGGGAGCCTGGCAGACTAATGCTCGCCTGTAATGAAGAAGACGGCGGCGCTGTGAGGCCGGCGGGGGCGGAGGGAGGACCCCGCCGGCCCCATAACACCTGCTGTTGCTGGGGATATCACAACCTGTGGGCCCACAACAGTGATCTACCGCGCCTACGCCAACACCTGTGTACCTGCCACACTGGCCACTATTCACCGGGAACAATAATGGTGGGGAATTGGTCAAGTATCCGCACGGGTGGGGCCGCCCTCCAGCGTCCAGTGGGGGGTAGTGAGAGGCGCTCATCACGCGACTTCTGCATCTAAAATTGTCTACAACTGTGTTAAAAAATTAGAGAAGCAGTGATTTAAGCAGGTGCAGGAGCGTAGGCAGGTGCGGTACATGTAGTGTGTGGTGGTGTTGAGCAGGAGGGAGGGGTCCTGGGCCCCGCCCACACCCGCCCACACCCACATCAAGCTGAGACACCGCCATGGGCACAAGACAAGAGTGGCCAGAGAGAAGCATGTTGAAGACGCATCCACATAGATTATATAGAAAGAAAGATCAGTTATGTTTAGCACATTACACAAGACAGACAAACAGGAAAGTTGTCTACATCCAATATATGGATCCAGACAGGACTACATGTTAGTTGATGTTAAGTGAGCAAGAGGAGTGATGGGGATAGCGACCCCCTGTGGAGACGTCGCGCACCTAATGGACCACACAGTGAGCTACGGCTATACAAGTATACACACCCATTAACCAAATCCTATACCTCTACGTCTACACCCCTATACAACATTCTTGGCCCTACATTTCCCTGCACTATGCTATCGCACACTCTAAACCACATTCTACACTCAGCTACTTCCTGGCGGCTCAACATTCCTAATTATACTTCATCTAATGGACCAGTCTATACTAAATCTACTTTTAAAACTTTTTTTGGCAAAAAATATCATTAAAATGTTGCTTGCATACTGAAGGGGGTGGCACTCTACCACTACACTACTAGAGTGAGGCGCACACACCTCGCCCTACATGCCATACTGTGCCTCACCACACGCAACACACCGTCAGTCTTCTACTCTAACATAACCAGTATCCCAAGTCCAGCTCCGTCAGGAAGCACGTACTCTGTCCACATTACCAAACTGGTAGACAACCACTCTGAAACCCTTTACTGACAGTCACCAAGTCACCTCCTGGCTCGCCACACCGCCAATCATCACTCTGGATCACTAAGGTCACCATCTGAATCACTAGATAGGCAGTCGCTTTTAAGCATTGAAATGAGGGAGTAGAACTTCCCGGGTAGCCAGGAGAATGAGAGAGAACTGTCAGCAAAACCAGTTTGGTAAGTGGGTGTTGCAGGTAGGGTGGCAGAGCTGGCCAGGACACACGCCAGGATACAAGCCAGGACACACGCCAAGACACAGGCCAGGACACACGCCAGACGCGCCTCGGGGCATGCCACTAACACTCATCATCTCGGAGTCTTCTGATCCAGTCAACAAAAATATCTCAAATTGACGTTTCTCCTTAGAGTGAAGGAGGACCAGGACCCAGAAGACTTCGATGCAGTAACAGCGTAAAATATAATGAGCTCAAACTGCACTAATTTTTATGGAGGGGGAGGGGGAGGGGGAGGGGGCATAGACTAAAGTACACCACCAGGAAAAATTGACGATAAAGTAAACTTAAATACCTTTAAAAGCTGAGGGATAGGAAGGGGGTGGGGGAGGGTGAACTACACGCAATGTAATCTTGCACAAAGTATCACAGGGCAGGAGCGGAATCACCACTGTACAACATTGACTAATAACACAACATGATTACAAACACTACTTGAGGGCACTGTTAGAAGAGATGTCACAATATAACATTTACTGCAACAGGAGAGATGAAAATGCATTACAGAAGAAGACATGAGGGAGGAGAGACATCCACCTGGCGGGAGGCATGCACGGCGCAGGCGCAGTAAGCCGCCTAACCTTCGTCAGGAGGTACAGGGGCGCGATACTTACCCCTCACCATCACCACCATATAGTCCAGTTACCCCTCACCATCACCATATAGTCCAGTTACCCCTCACCATCACCATATAGTCCAGTTACCCCTCACCATCACCATATAGTCCAGTTACCCCTCACCATCACTCACTAAGCTCTCTCATCTCATTTTTCTCTTGCAATGTATCTTTATCATTTATCAATTCTGATAGAAATTACCTACTTAAAATTATCTGCTAGATTAAGGACCTGCCCGAAACGCTGCGCGTACTAGTGGCTTTACAAGAATGTAAATACTGTACTATCCAATGTATTCTCACAAACCCAATGTACCTTCTTGTATATATATAAATAAAATAAATAAAATAAAATCATCATATAGTCCAGTTACCCCTCAACTCTACTTGAAAACATTTAAAGCGACAAATGTTCGCCAGTTCTTTTTTGTTTATAATGTTAACAGATATAAGTGAGCTTACATTGCATTAGAAATGCAAAAAATAGTTTTCTCTTATTCTATTCCTATTTTAACTACTTTTCCGTTGTTCTAGTTCTATTTGTAACTACTTCTCCACACTTCTATTCCTAATGAATTAGTTTCCTCGTGTTCTATAAATATTTCAGCTGTATTCCATTTGTTCTATTTCTATTTAATGAACTTTTCCGTAGTTCTATTTTTATTTAAAAAAATTTTCCGTGGTATTATTCCTATTTTAACTACTTTCCGTTCATATATTCCTATTTTCACTATTCTTCGTTCTTATATTCCTATATTAACTACTTTAGTTATACATCAGAGAGCATTTCGGAAACTAGATGACACCGTATAAACATGGTTTCTTTATTATAGAAAAGGTATACTGTACTGATCTGCAAGGCTTTAGCTGCAAAGTTGCAATAAGTCCCAAAAATAGTGTTGAGGCTGTTTGCCCGTAGGCCTTTTCAAGCAAGAGGTCCACGGGGATCCCTCCACCCCGCCTACCAAGAGGTCCACGGGGATCCCTACACCCCGCCTACCAAGAGGTCCACGGGAATCCCTACACCCCGCCTACCAAGAGGTCCACGGGGATCCCTACACCCCGCCTACCAAGAGGTCCACGGGGATCCCTACACCCCGCCTACCAAGAGGTCCACGGGGATCCCTACACCCCGCCTACCAAGAGGTCCACGGGGATCCCTACACCCCGCCTACCAAGAGGTCCACGGGGATCCCTCCACCCCGCCTACCAAGAGGTCCACGGGGAGCCCTACACCCCGCCTACCAAGAGGTCCACGGGGATCCCTCCACCCCGCCTACCAAGAGGTCCACGGGGATCCCTACACCCCGCCTACCAAGAGGTCCACGGGGATCCCTCCACCCCGCCTACCAAGAGGTCCACGGGGAGCCCTACACCCCGCCTACCAAGAGGTCCACGGGGATCCCTACACCCCGCCTACCAAGAGGTCCACGGGGATCCCTCCACCCCGCCTACCAAGAGGTCCACAGGGATCCCTACACCCCGCCTACCAAGAGGTCCACGGGGATCCCTACACCCCGCCTACCAAGAGGTCCACGGGGATCCCTCCACCCCGCCTACCAAGAGGTCCACGGGGAGCCCTACACCCCGCCTACCAAGAGGTCCACGGGAATCCCTCCACCCCGCCTACCAAGAGGTCCACGGGGATCCCTACACCCCGCCTACCAAGAGGTCCACGGGGATCCCTACACCCCGCCTACCAAGAGGTCCACGGGGATCCCTACACCCCGCCTACCAAGAGGTCCACGGGGATCCCTCCACCCCGCCTACCAAGAGGTCCACGGGGATCCCTCCACCCCGCCTACCAAGAGGTCCACGGGGAGCCCTACACCCCGCCTACCAAGAGGTCCACGGGGATCCCTACACCCCGCCTACCAAGAGGTCCACGGGGATCCCTCCACCCCGCCTACCAAGAGGTCCACGGGGATCCCTCCACCCCGCCTACCAAGAGGTCCACGGGGATCCCTACACCCCGCCTACCAAGAGGTCCACGGGGAGCCCTCCACCCCGCCTACCAAGAGGTCCACGGGGATCCCTCCACCCCGCCTACCAAGAGGTCCACGGGGATCCCTCCACCCCGCCTACCAAGAGGTCCACGGGGATCCCTACACCCCGCCTACCAAGAGGTGCACGGGGATCCCTCCCTACACCCCGCCTACCAAGAGGTCCACGGGGATCCCTCCACCCCGCCTACCAAGAGGTCCACGGGGATCCCTCCACCCCGCCTACCAAGAGGTCCACGGGGATCCCTACACCCCCCACGGGGATCCCTACACCCCGCCTACCAAGAGGTGCATGGGGATCCCTACACCCCGCCTACCAAGAGGTGCACGGGGATCCCTACACCCCGCCTACCAAGAGGTCCACGGGGAGCCCTCCACCCCGCCTACCAAGAGGTCCACGGGGATCCCTACACCCCGCCTACCAAGAGGTGCACGGGGATCCCTACACCCCGCCTACCAAGAGGTCCACGGGGAGCCCTCCACCCCGCCTACCAAGAGGTCCACGGGGATCCCTACACCCCGCCTACCAAGAGGTGCATGGGGATCCCTACACCCCGCCTACCAAGAGGTGCACGGGGATCCCTACACCCCGCCTACCAAGAGGTCCACGGGGAGCCCTCCACCCCGCCTACCAAGAGGTCCACGGGGAGCCCTACACCCCGCCTACCAAGAGGTCCACGGGGAGCCCTACACCCCGCCTACCAAGAGGTCCACGGGGAGCCCTACACCCCGCCTACCAAGAGGTCCACGGGGAGCCCTACACCCCGCCTACCAAGAGGTGCACTGGGAGCCCTCCACCCCGCCTACCAAGAGGTCCAAGGGAGCCCTACACCCCGCCTACCAAGAGGTCCACGGGGAGCCCTACACCCCGCCTACCAAGAGGTGCACTGGGAGCCCTCCACCCCGCCTACCAAGAGGTCCAAGGGGAGCCCTCCACCCCGCCTACCAAGAGGTCCACGGGGAGCCCTACACCCCGCCTACCAAGAGGTCCAAGGGGAGCCCTACACCCCG